GGACCGTATGCTGAATGTTGGGGAGGGGATGGTGTCCCCGACGGTGGACGGACAACTTCAACGCGGTCCTTAGAACCGCCACAATTTGGCGCTTACCTTAGAACTAAGCCTTAAAGAGAGGACGGGTCCGTCCCCTCTCCTAGGCTTAGTCCAAGGGTGAGCAGACCGGTCCTTCTGGCGAAGCTACTGGACCAGCTGCACCACTTGCGTCAGTACTCTCCTATCGTACCAACCGAGTTGAAGTAAACCGTCGACCGTTGGGGACCCCATCCCCTCCCCAACATTCAGCATACGGTCCCAGCCGATGTGCCAAAAGGGCTGGTTTGCTTACGTCCGAAAAATCTGCATTCAACTATATACTCGTATAACTCTTCTTTTCAGAAGCCCAGTTTTTGAATGCGAATGTTTCGGGAAACATAAGATAAATGATATTCAGCTGTGCACAAGATGAAAGGGAAACTAGCCACTAATTGGATCTCTCGGCTCTTCACCTTCATAAGCCTGCTCAGAATCACATTGACGGATTCCTCGCACATAAAGTTCGAATGACTGAGCGATGCGTCGAAAACGCTCCAGTAGTGTCACACCTTCCATATTGCGTGCTCAGATGGAATACGAGACCAACGGAGCGCTCATCGTTGCGATCCGTACGTGCGATCAGGCGAATTGGCGATCAAGCCGACAGTTCAAAAAGAAAAGTACACGCATCGATAAGGTGAATAGGCGAGTAGGCGATTAATCGATTAGGCGAGTCGACGAGTGAAGGGTACGTATTGATTCGTTGCTTCGCACGCATCAGCGATCGCCTAATAGCTTACTCGCTAATTGCCTTAACACAGCTTACGTATATTTTTTCGTTAAATAGACTAATCGCAAAATGCACTACCGATCGCCAACCTAAATAACGCTCCGTTACGTCCTTATTTTAGCACAGCCGATTAGGAAACTGATTCTAAGCACTCCATAACCGCGTAGAGGAGAGTATGACACGAGGAGCGCTACAGATGAGAGATCGCCAGACAACAGCCTGATAAGAGAAAAAAAAATCTGCAGCTTCAGCAGCTTACTTTGCAAGCCCAAGCGCTCTTGTCGGTCGTTCCGTGCACGTGAACGCCACATTTGTGATTGTCCTCTAGGGTCTATACTTCTGACCGAAGAGAAGAGTTCACACGACCTCTGCCTGGGTTGTGCCTTCAAGCTAGTTGGCGTATCACACTCAGTGGAGGATAACCTTTTTTGCATCGCTCAAGCTTGTAAATGCGGTCCGATTTTTCTTCTTCAAGTAGCTGCTGAAACTGTGCATAGGTCTAGTGAATCAACCTTGCTATGAGCCTGGTTCTGAGCTGGTTCGAGTTTGAGTGAGAAGAACCATCCAGTTAGAACATATTTGCAAAACCAATACATTTTAAAAGGATGCTGCTGGTAGAGAAACTCACAAAAATCCTCTTGCTCGGTGATTTATGATAAAACACAAGTTTAGGACGCATTCGGATGCACCACTGCATACCTACTCGCGCATGCAGAGAAAATCGTGTTGGCATTTGAGTGCGATATGCAGCTTCTTGTAATGTTCCTTTCATCATGGACACATTTGCTCTCCCAAAGGAATCCTTCCCGAGGAAAAAATGATTCTATCTCACCCATACACGAAAAGAACGGAAACAGCTGAAAGTTGTGGTAAACAAATCGAAAAAAAAGAAGGACTGCCACGTCTTTAAACCACCGTGCACGACAGTCGTTACAAATGCCTGTGGCGGAACACGATTCCTCACCTGTTAAAGTAGTGCTGTTACTCACGAAACTCTTTTCACCTTTTGACTCCCACTGACATCTTCCAACACTTCTGCATCAATTCATCGACTCGTTTTGTTTTCAATCTCTCACAATAACCGTTTCTCCGTACTTCCCCATTGCTTCGCCTGATGTAGTTGTCCCAAGACGCACCTCTACCTATGTCCCGCCCGTGGTTCCGCGCGACTTACCTTCGACTGTTCACAGAGTGTGGTTTACGTTTGTTTTCACTTGGAAATCGGATCTTCGTGCGCTGAACTTTTCTGTAGTGGTCACAACTGACACCTGCATGTTGGGAAAGAATGCAAGAATGTTCCGGGAAGGATTCCTTTAAAAACGGCATCAAGCCTTAGGCGAAGATGAAGAGACTCCAAAATGCGTTAGCTATATTTATTTTTCCCGAAGCCCCTCCTAGGCTTACAAGGAATGGCCAATAGGTCGGTCCGGCCCATTTGTAATGAGGTATAGTCGTATTGCGAACGCTGCGCTCAAACCCGTTTTCGGTTTTGCCAGAACGATTCTTTAGAAACTCACGCGGCATTTCTTCCTCACGTGCACCTCTATATTTCATTCCCAATAACCCCACTTGCCCCGGGGGGGGGGTACCCGACGGTTGGCGCGCCAGAAGGCAAGCACGGAGAAGTCAACGGACGAGTCGCAGCACGTGTTGAGTGATGTGCCGATCCTATGGCACTTCCTATTCACTGCTTAACTAACTTCACGCAAAATCTCTACAGTACGCGCTGCGCCTCATCCGCTGACTCATCTACGTCTCCGCTTTCTCGCTGAGCAACGGACCTCTTGCTGGCTACATTTGGCCCGGCCGTGCCATCCGACTTCCCCGATCCATATTTATTGAAACACACGCAACCTTAGCAAACGCCAATTAACTGAATGTAGCAACGTAATGAGTTCAGCGCCACCTTGACTCAAAATCACTGATCTGCGGTTTGAGAACAATCATCTGTTCGAAATGAATAGGTCTATCATCGCATGAAAAGACTTTGCAGGACAGTTTTTCCAGCGAAGTCAAAATTTAAACCCCGCTACTAGTTTTAAGGACTATCAAAGCTAAGCTAGGCTGATTCACCATGACACATACCTGAATTTTGCAAAGGAACTACCTATTTCAAAAAAAATTGAGTTACTTTCGAAACCAAAACACGAAATAAATATGACCTTTATTTACACGTATACGTATCTTCTGGAATAACCTACTCTACAGATAAATGATGCTTCAAAATCAACTGTACAATACAAGAACCATCACCAACAAAACCAAATAAAGCATATCACCAGTATTCGTCCTTGAGATGCCATTCCATTTTTAGCCTATCGTAATGGCAAAGTTTTGTTAATATTGCACGGAACTGTACCCAATCTTCCTTACATTCCTTCTGAAATTCAGTTATTTAGCAAGCTTCACAATACCCACAGTAAACTCGACATTTGATTAAACATAATTTACCTTCTGTCAATTACTTTTAATCGCCCAAACTGGATATTGTATGGGAAGCCGGGTGTGAAAACCCTGCAAGGGTGGTGGCATTATTGGGAGGGTGGGGGTCGAGTTGTGTCGGTACCCTTAGAAAAATGTGCCGTGAAAATTTTGGTTAGGCCCAACGACGGCTGGCACTGCTCCCCAATAATATGGAAATGAAAGACAAAACCAAACCAAAACCATTTGGCCAAAACCACAAACCATTTGGTGCACCCCTTCTTTTTGTGGGATGTGCCACGCATACGAGCTCCATTCAGACTCCTAGTAGCTTTTGGATGATACTTGCCCTGTACATACACTTGTGGGGCCCAGCGATGTGAAGTTAGTGTTTTTGTATTATGGTTAGAGGTACCAGAAACCTCTAACCGTAATACACGCTCCAGAGAGAATAGAAAGCTCGGCTATTCTGGGTGGAATTCCATCTAGAATTTGAACCAGTGACTGTGCGCGTGACAGCAACGACACTTGCCACAACAATACCTCCGGTCTTCCATGAAGAGAAAAAGTAGAAAAAAATGGAATAAGTTAGGAGCTATTTTTCAGGCCTGTATCTATAGGACTGATTAATGTAAAGAAAACGAAACGAAGTATAGCAGATCGTCACCCGAAACAATATAGGGTTTTTCCCTACGAACTTCTTACGACTGCCTTATGCAGCTTTACAAATAAATTAATAAATAAAACCTTCTTCAACCTTTTAATAATAAAGGAACATTGCTGACTGAACACACCTTGAATTTTCGGCAAATTACGTCACTGAACACTTTGCCACCACTTTTTACAACATAATCTCGGATTTTCTGAGTGCAAACAACATTCTTATCTCTGAGCAGCACTTCCTAAATTCAGAAAAAAATTTTAAAAGTACCACAGATCACATCATAATAAGTAGTTGTGCAGTACACAACCTTTTTTATAAATACAGTAAGCTCAACAAATCTGCCAAAATCCGAAATAACGAGGTCAAAATGTCTCTTACCGATGATACTCCTGGATCCCTCTTTTGTTTCCTACCATGAATTGCAGCGAGCACCGAGTCGGAGGAAGTTTCGCCTTAGGAAATAGTTTTTCTGATGTAATTTCATGGACGAATCTCCTTCCACCGGTGCGTGTTGGAATTTGATCTGACGAAACTTTTGCACGAATGCATAATTTGTCTGTAAAGCAGACGAATAACTATTTTTAAAAATGTATGCTATTTAGCGTAGTCTTATAATATTTCCATATGATAAAGAAAATGCCAAAAAAAGATCAAAAGTGTTTGCAACGATTGAAGACTCCTCGCATTTAGGGAAATTTCTGCCGACGAAAACTTCTTCATACGGAAACATTGCTATACTACATGGAGGACCGCACTTATACATGCACAGATTTTACGTCAAAAATTGCGGAGCTATCGAGCAGACATTCATCCCAGACAAGAAAGTTTTCGTCGACCCACTCACTGTTCCATACACCTTAAGTCAGAGGAGCCGGTCCACCTTCAACTTCACACCCAGTGACGTTTGAGCCTTCTTCACAATAAACGTGCAACTGGACAGCATCAGAACCGCTGCCACCCTCCGTGTAACTCTTATGCCTTTGGATTAATAATCCTTCCTTTACGTGAGAGATCCTTCCCAAATGAGACTTTAACAACTTTCTAAAATTGTCCAACATCCCATCTTGAACGTCCCATATCCACGAAAGAAGAAATCATACCGTACCGTCTACGAATGGATTTGGCGGCTCGAGTTGCGACAGCGTCAGCTTCTTTCTCCACGAGGTAACCAGAAGGCTCGTCACTGATCAGGTCATCATGGTTCATAGCACAACGGACACCGGCCGATTTCAAAAGACATCCGAGCACATAGCTGTCGTCGGCTTTCTCGACTGATGGTGTTGCGGATCTGGACTTTTCGTGCTGCTTCTTTGCCGGCGTTGATTTCACGCGTTCCTCTCTCCAAGGTTTACGCTTTTTCTTCTTCTTTATTGACTTCGATTCCCTTTGATCGTGGCTCTTTGCAGAAGGTCCGGCTATATCTTCAGGCTCATTATTGATATCGTAAGTATTTTACTCCTCTTTAATGTCGCTGCTATAAGGAGTGGCATCACTCGGTTCATCTTTGCCTGCTCCATCATTAGCATTCTCGTTTCTGTCCGCGAAATTGCTTGAATTCTCCATGGCATGATTCTCTTCAACAGAACATCCGTGGTGCTCCTCGGACCTTCACTTCCAGATGGCCTTGACAGCATTGACTCTGATTCTCCTTGACCATCTTCTTGAAGGCGGCTTAATGTTCTGAAAACAAAAAATATATCAGAAGACTGATTAATGTTCTCCTTAAGCAAAAAAATGATTGAAAAACCATCCATGTGAATATACATTTCGGCACTATTGACCGCACAATTTGCCCTTTGGTGCCTCATGCCTCGCTTTTCATTAAGTAAGCTGGCTTTTCATAAAATTTGTCTTCGAGGTATATTTCGATACAAATTTGCCCCTGTAAGTGGGTTTACCAGTAGACACGAATATCACGTCCATCTGGCGTGAAGGCTCTTAATGCTCATGCATAGCCGCCCGCTTGAGACTAATGTAGTTTGACAACGTCCGCGTGTAGGGCGCGGTCGCCACGTGCTTTAACTTCAAGCGGATGTGAATTTCGACCTTAGTGGTAGCCCTAGGGACAAGTTTGCAGCAAATTGGGTGATCCAAGGTGTTCCGCCGTATTCAGACGCCTTCTCTGTGGCGCAGGCGCCAGGCGCATTCATGTCAGAAAACCGAATCATCTACTCGGCGGAACGCCTACCTGGGAAAGGAACTATAAATTGAGTGTGAAGAACCAACCCCAATTTCGAAGAGCTTGTTTCTAATTTCTCCCAACCTATAATAATAGAAAACACGTGAATGTGCAGATAACCGAAAGGATTTGTCTGAAGATCAGTGAAATCAATGCGATGCAGAGACACAACCGATGGTTTGGTTGAGAGCCAAGACCTCTAACATTCGGCACAAATGCATAGCTTTAATGGTGAATGTCAAAAATTGAAAAAGGTACCTCTTGACCATTTCAAAAAAAACTTACCAACTACAAAATTGTTACCCTGATGCACCAAAAATTATTGAAATGACGAAACTTCGTGAGGAACTTCCTTACCTCGCTAAAAGTCGGGCACGCTCCCGAAGCTCAGCCTTCTTATCTTCGCTCAGACTGACCACTGACGACGCGTTCTTGTCATCCTCGTTCTTCAGCTTCTGTTTCCTCTTGCTCAATTTCCTTTCACGACCAGTCCTGTGAAAAATACATAAGAAGAGGACAAAATAAGACTTCGATATGACAACACTCAAACACCTACTCTTTATTCCGGAATCAAAGAAGTTCTCTCTACGAATTTCATCGGTTTCACCAGCAAATAGGGCACCAGTTTCTGTAGGGCAATCTTTCTGGAAGAAAAAAA